TGTTCCCTGGATATACAGCAGGGTCACCACCACATTTCCCATCTTTCCAATCATGGGTCTAGCAGCAACTGGATCGCCAAATGGAAAAAAAGGCCACTGCTCACACCATGTACACAAATTAATTCTAGAAAGATCATAGATCCAAGAGAGAAAAGCAAAGCCATGACATTCCTAGGCCGAGGATATAGCTTAGCAGCACAGCACCTGCCTGCGGGAATCCTGAGTTCGATTCCTGGTACCAAAAAAAAAAAAAAACATTTCTAGAAGAAAAGAGGGAAACATTTTCATAAACAAATGAAAATGCCTATGAGAATGGGATAAGTAAAGATTTCTTAAAATACATTTGATTTCCTTAAAATAATTTTTGATAATCAAAAGATGATATTAAGGGAAGGAAAAGTTGAGTCAGAGTCATAAAGAAGTTATCTATTACAATACATATATCTAACAAAGAACTCATATCCAGAACATAGGAAGGACTCCTACAGATAAGAAAAAAAAAATACAACCCAAATAAAAGCAGAAGACTTGAAGTAGCACTTCACCAAATAGAAATAGCTAACGGCCCATAAATGTATGAAAAAGTGGGGAAATAAAAATTTCCCGTGGGCCAGGCACGATGGTGTACTCCTCTAATCTCAAGTATTCTGGGAGGCAGAGGCAGGAGGATTGCAATTTCAAGCCAAATCTGGGCAATTTAGCAAGACTCTGTCTCAAAATAAAAAAATTAAAAAGGGCTGGAAATATAGCTCAGTGTGGAAGCCCTAGGTTCAATCCCCAGTACCACCAAAAGATAGATAGATAGATAGATAGATAAATAAATAGCTAAAATGGAAAGATAGATGTGATCAAGTAGTTGGTGAAGCTGTGGAATAGTGGAGCACTCACACATCACAACAATTTTAGGAAATGATTTGGCCCGGTCTGTTCAAGTTAAACTGCTTCTGATTCATCAGTTGTACTCCTTCGTATGGTCTGAACAGAAATGAGTCCATATATTCACCCAAGGAACATTCACAGCATGTTTGTAACCTAAATGCCCATCCACAGAACATGTAGATTGTGGGTTTTTCATTAAATGAAATACTGCATGTACGTGAGAAGAAAAGAGAAACTAATTCTACATAAACATCAATCGGTTGTTCAGACCGGTTGAGGGAAAGAAGCTAGATACAAACTTCGGTAGAATTTCATTTACATGAAGTTCCATAGAGGGTAAAGCTAACCAAGGTGATGGGGCCCGTGGCAGCTCCCATGGGGCTGGACTGGGGTGTGTCCTCGGGGCTGGAAGGGTTTGTATCCAGGAGCACTCAGGCATGGGAGTGAGCGGGCCCCGTGTTTATGATGTTTGTGCCCCTCCACCCCGTGTGTCAGTTATTCTCCCACACAAAAAACGATGCAGAGAGTAGGGGTGAGGATGGAACCCTGCTGTTTCATCAGGGTGTGGGTTTAGAATGAGGCTGAGTTTTGAAGACACAGGGTCAGATCTTGTCTTCATTTAAAATTGTGAGACTTTGCTCATCTTGGTTTTCTGGTATTCATTTTGGTCTTCTAAGTACAAGGACTGAGTAGTTCTGAAGGTGAGTTTCCCACCAGCCTCATCCCAGCCCACCCTCCCTCTTGATTCCACCACAGCAGGTCCAGGTCCCTCCCAGGCTCCAGAGCCCCATGGTGTGAAACCCGCCTGAGCTCCCCAGGGACACCAGGGCTCTAAGAGAGGAGGGACCTGGACAGCTGGTTCTGTCCTAAGTGCAGAGCTGAGCCTTCTCCTGCCCCAGGCTGGCCCAGGGCTCAGCCCCTAGGCCACATGTATTTGTGTTGCAGGGGCAGTGATCGTTGCAGGCATTTTGTCATCAACCAACTCAGAAACCGGCGCTACCTGGTCTCGGGGGATACTCTGAGCCATAGCACCCTGGCCGAGCTGGTGCGCCATTACCAGGAGGTGCAGCTGGAGCCCTTTGGGGAGACATTGGCTGCTGCCTGTCCCAGGGTAGGTTCCCCTCATCTGGTTGGGTGAGGAGTCAGGCTAGGGCATCCTTTGCTCAGCCTCGGGCCGTTCTGGCTTCACTGTCTGCTGCCCTTGGGCACTCAGGTGGGGACAGGGTACCTATTTGAAAAAGGAACTTAGAGCATCTTGCCTGAAGTCAAGGGCCAGGTGGGGACATTTCATTACCTGGGAAGCCATCCCTGGGAGGATGCTGGAGGCCACTGAGGAGTGTGTGACCTCATACCTGCTATGTCCCCACCGCCCCAGCCAGAAGACCATGATCTGTATGATGCCATCACCCTGGGGCTCCACCAGACCAACCTGGGCCTTGAAAACCATCCAGCAACAACATCCCCCACCACAGTACCTGACAAGGCTGCCAGCCCCCGTGTCCCTGTGAAGGCCCGGGGCTCCTTCCTGCATGCAGACAAAAGCCTAGACCTAGGTCCCCGGAGCCTTGGCAAGGAGGACAGCGCTGAGGTGAGGAGATTCCAGCCACCGAGGGGAGGGCTGCCAGAATGGGGATATGGGTGCCACACCAGTCAGCCCTGAGGTGCTGTGCCTGGTGGTCCTTCCAGCTGCAAGGTGAGTTGCAGGCCACAGAGACAGCCTCAGCCGGAAGTACCAGCAGCCACTCGTGTCATGCCTGCCCCTGCTCACTGGATGTGTATCACGCCTGGTCTCAAACATTTTTGGGCTGTGTAACTCTGAGCCAGTCACACAATCTCTGTCAGCCTCAGTTTACCATTCCTGATGTTCTTGGAGGCATGAATGAGATAATGCATATGAAAAGCCTGGACATCCCCAGTGAATGGTACAGTGGGGTGCCTGAGGGTCAGTTCTTTTCTTCTCCTTGGCACCCTACAGGTAAGATTCAGAGAGCTTTCTTCAGTATCTGTCAAGATTTCTCTCATTTAGAATAGGATCTTTTTTTTTTTTTTTTTTTTTTTTTTTTTTTTTTTTTGGCTTTTTGAGACAGGGTCTCACTATGCAGTTCAGGCTGGCCTTGAGCTCACTTTGTACCCCAGGCTGGTCTCAAACTCCTAATGATCCTCCTGCCTCAGCCTCCTGAGTGCTCAGATTACAGGTGTGCACCACCATGCCCAGCTTAGAATAGGATCTAGACTCTTCTCCAGGACCACAAAAGCCCCAGCAAGTGCCTGCTCCTTCCGTGTCCTCGCTGAAGGCCTCGTTGGCTTCCAGGTCTTCCCTGAGGTCGCCCAGCTTCTCCCATGCCAGGCCTTGCATTTGGGTGCCCTTGGCAAGGCACACTCTTCCCTCCAGATGTCTACCTGCTCACACTCTTGATACCTTCTGCCTCTCCTCATGTCCCTCCTCAGAAAGGCCATTTACACTTCAGAAAACGTCCCCCTTCCCCATCACTCTCCCTGGCCCACCCCCAGCACTGACCATGACCTGATGCCACCTGATCTTGTGACACATCAGCATGTAGTAATCACACCCTACTCTACCATATGATGGAGCCAGATTCCACATAAACTCCCAAGGTCTGGCCTTGCTCACCACAGAGCTCTCAGCACCTAAGACTATCTTCCATAGATAGTCTGGGAACAACTGGTGCTCCCTAAATCCTGGGAAGAAGCCATAAGCAATGGACTGGGTGGCAGGAGGGGGCTGGGCACTGAGTGTGGGGTTCAGAGCCCCCCCAAGGACTCATGGACCACAGAGGCCGGAGGAGCAGGGTGGGGCAAGGTTGGGAGGCCCAAGTCCTTGAACACCAAGGTAAGGTCCATGCTCAGAGCCCACAGTATAAGGGCTAGCAAGGATCCTGGTACCATTCCCATCCTTGCCTTTAAGAGCTGGGTAAATCTGTGACCTCAGGTGATCTAAGGACATCTCTGCAGTGGATGCCCCTGAGATAGTCTCTGTTTCTCTCTCCCTAGGCCCACAGCAGGGTGCCCCCCCTCCCTGAGAGGAGTGCCCCGCTCCTGGATAAGTCTCCTGCCAGCCCCGGCGACCTCATCTATGCAGACCTGAGGAAGACGAGCCAGCCACAGCCAGGCCTGGGGATAGCGGTGTCTGGCCAGGCCTGTCCCCCAGGCAGGGAGGCCCTACAGAGACTCTCAGATGGAGATCAAGACAGGCCTGATGACCTGGGGCCTGCCCTCCCTGGGCTGAGCCCAGACCAGGGCCCTAAAATGTCTTCCACCTCCTGGGGGCCACCCCAGCCTCCCAGCTCTGAAATTCGGGGATCCTGGGCTGCTACAAGGAGGCAGGGGTTTCTACAGCTGAGTCATGAGGCTCTGTCCTGCTCCCAGGGAAGCTTCACGGATGCCTCGGACCTCACTGGGACAATGGGTCTCCTGCAGGAGGCCCACAATACAGACGACCAGAGGAATAGGGCCTATGCACAGATCCCAGCCCGCTGGGGTGGCCCAGCCAGGCTCCCACCTCCCGGGGCCAGTCCCATGTACAGCACACTGTCGGAACCCATGAACAGTGGCTACGAGAAGATCTCAGGGCTCCCGGAGCCAGGCAACACCTACGAGCAAGTCCCAGCAGCCAGGAGCAAGGAGCCCGGACGGGCACATAAGGTGTGCTCTGTGGGCAGGGGGGGCTGCCAGCCCTGGGGGCACCTCAGGCACGGGTGGGTTAGGTTAACGCCCCTGCCCCGACATACCCAAACTTTCCAGCCCTGCATCTGCCTGGAAGCGGGGTGGGTGGGGGGCGGGGCCAACTGATAGATTTGGTGTAAGAGGCGGGTTTTGGGACCTGACAGCCTTTTCTGAAGCAGATGGGTCTGGCCCTCTCTTGGCCTCTGCAAGGGTCTTAGAGCCTCAGAAAGGGAGAGGAGCCCTTAGCTTTAATTATGGCCCAGTTCCCCACTATTCTCATTCATGATTTTGGGTAGGACAACCTCCCCAGAAGTACCATGCCTCGGGGGAATCCAGTTAAATTTGAGTTTCAGATAAACAAGTACTTTTTGTAGTATGTCTCATATGCTGCAATTCTTCTTGGCTTGTCTGAAAATCAAATTGAGTGAGGCAACCTCTATTCCTATTAGAGACCCTCCTCATGACCCTACTTCCTTCTCTGTGAAATGGGCTGGTACCTCTGGTTGTGTCCTGCAGCTACTGCACAGAGGATGAGGCCAGGCATCCTGTCACACTCTGGGTTTAGCCATGAACAGGGTTGTCATCTCTGAGGGTTTCTGAGAAGGAAGACAGGGAGCGGGGTCAGGAAGGCACAGGGAGGTCCAAGTGGGGCTGGCCAGGGTTCACAGGAAGCAGGGACCCCACCCCTCACTCTGCCTGCACCTGGACACAATGGCACCAAGAGGCCATCCCCACAGGCAGAGCCTTGGTCTTGGGCACTCAAAGCCTCTGCGCCTAACCAAGCAGTGACACGCCCCCAGGTGTGAGGCCTCTGCAGGAAGCTCACCAACTTCCAGTTTGGGCCAGGCTGTGGCCATACTCACATGCAACAGCCTCCAGGGTCCAACCTTCTCACAACCACAGAGTCCTTTAAGGACCTCAGAAGCCACATCCCAGGCCTGTGCTTCCCCTGGCAACAGCACCATGTCCTGTCCCAAAGGCAGTGGCCCTGGGTACAACTCCTGGACTCCAGCTAGGGTGGAGAGTGCTAGAATCAGGGGAGACCAGGGCCCTGCAGGGAGGTCGGGTGGGGCTCACCATCACTTTCTATCTCTTCTTTTGTATGTGTGTCAGGTTTTTTTTGAGACAGGGTCTTGCTACATAGTCCAGGCTGGCCTTTGAACTTGCAGGGATCCTCTTGCCTTTAGGCATTTCCTTCTCACCCTGTTCCTTCCCCACCCACTCCACAGCAGATGAGGGTGAATCCTTCCTGCCAAACTGGAGTGCAAGGTAGGGTTTCAGGCCCTGGGGAGAGGCTTGAGAGAGTCGCCAAAAATATTCCAGCCCAACTTCATATCCTAGGCATGGGCCCCTGTCAGACCAATGCCCAGGGCCCCTAACCCCAAGTCTGTCTGTCCTGCAGCCTGACAAGCTCCGGAGGCTCTTCTTTGCAGACAAGAAGCACAGATTCTGAAGAGGGTCTGGCCCCAGGGTTCCCCAGCTCCTGTGCTGTGCTGAGGTCATCTAAAGCCCTCCACTCGCCCAAGGGTACCCTGGAATCCTCAACCCAACAAACTACTGTGGACCAGGCACAGAAATACAGCCTGCATGCCTGCCTGGAGGGACCTCCCTCAGCCTGTGCGCCTACATGTCCTGCTCCCCAGTGTCTCCCAACCACGCAGAGGATGGAAAAGGCCACAGAGCAGGGACCAGCCATGGGCAGGAGTCAGCATCCTTCTTCGCAGAAGAGTGCATCAAGACTGGGGCTTGGAGCTCACTGAAGAGTGCCAGGCCTGGGCTGGGACAGACACCTTCCTAATGGACAGGGGGACACGGTACAGCTTCCCGGCTCAGGGTCCTGGCAGCAGACAGGAAGAGGGGCAGGAGCCACATCCTTTCTTCTGTCCCACAGGAATGTAGCAGCAAGGCCTGGCCTTGAAGCCTCAGCTTGACCTTAGAACAGATCAGGGTCCCACCACTCACCCGTAGCTCCTCTGGCTTCCCTCATCCCAGCCTCAGGCACAGCTGAGAGAATCCTGATGCTCCCAGCCCAAGCCTTTGGTGTTACAGATAGAGAAACCACACCCCTTGGTGGAGGGGCAGTGCTTCGGGGCCATACTGCTAAGCAAAAGCCCCCTAAAAAGGTTGCTCACTCTGGGGCTAATCTGGACCATAGCGGTGGTAGCATCTGCAGCCTGCCAGGGAGTGCTGGGTGCCGTCCCTGTGTGCTCCGGCCTCTAGCCAGTCTGACCTGGATCCCAGCCCTACCCTATGGCCTTGCCCCATGGAGCCACAGACTCCTGCCAGCCACAGCTCTAGACACGGCTCAGGTCTCCTGCTTCCACCACTCCCTTAGGCCAGGCTGGCTCTGCCTGGGATCCTTCCTATTTTTTCCCTTGGCGCCCTTGCCCACATGTTCCCACCTCCATAAGGGTGACAACTGGGGGTAGTGGCCAGGACTGACCTCTCCAGATAGAACACAGGTGCTCTCCCTCCTACCTGAACCTGGGCACAATTAACTTAGAGCATATCCGGGGCAGCTTGGCTATGCAACTTCTCCCTCGCCCTAGGGCATCGCGCTGAGACCAAAGCCAGTGCCTGGAGAGGGAAGGCTTAACCTTGCACCAGGGCACTGTGCCCATGGAGGATTACAGCAACCAGGTGCTGTAATCCATAGTTGCCGCGGATCATTTCCAAAGTCAGGAGACACAGAGACTGCAGGACACAGTGTTTACTACAGGAGTTCATAAATCTGTGGTCAGCACACACCAGCCAAGGTGGCCTGGGAGGAGCTCACACACCAGGCAGAGACAAGGATGGAGCCCTTTAGACCACTGCTCACACCCCTTTGCCTTGGGAAGGGTGGCAGGGTGGCAGGGTGCAGCCTGGGATTTGGGGGAAAATTGCATAGCTTGTTAAAACCCTGACCTCTTTTTTTTCCCTGCTTATCACTTGGCAACTGGGCAGGGGGTCTGCCTAGCACACAGACAAGTGAGACCCCCATCACCTCCACTTGGGTTTCCTGCCTTCCCCTCTCAGGGGGACAAGAGACCCACAGAGGGTCTAGGGGCCCTGGGCTAGACCACCTCACACCCTCTTCCCTGGTTAAGGTTGTTTTTTGCTGTTGATGGTGTAAACCCAGGGCCATAACTCCTCTCCTGGGTGGCCGGGGCCACAGCACTGCAGACCGCATTGAAGACGGTGGGCTTCCAGGTTCTCACAGGGTCCTCAGATCCGGATGTGGAAAGTGCTGGAAAGACAAAAAGGACAAGAGGGTGAAAGGACCCCTCGGGCCAGGCAGAGGCTCCCGGGGAAGACCTAACCCAGCCTCAGCCAGCCTGGCTTTAGGGAAGCCACACAGAGGGGTCATTACACACCCCGGGGAGGGAAGCCCAGAGGAACTGTAGCCCCTGGCAACTCCAGCCTCCAATCATAACCAGGGACCTCCAGGGTCTTCACCCTTCCCATGAGAGCCCGGCGCTGCAAGGGCCTTGTGTGTGACCTCCTGGCCTGCACACATTGCCCACGGCTGTACACCAAGAGGGGCTGCCCTCTGTGATCCCGGCATCCTGGTCTGCCCTGCCTGAGCCCTAGGCTGGTGGTACCTGAGGAAGTCAGGGGCCTTGGCGATCATGTCCTCAAAGTCAGCAAAACCCAACTTGCCATCACCATCTAGGTCGGCCTCCTCGATGACCTTGTCACACACGAGCACCACCTCATCCTCATCCAGCTCCGACTTGGTGAGCCGGGCCAGCGTCAGCTCCAGGTCCTCCTTGCAGATGAAGTTGTCGGTGTTGAAGTCTGCAGGCCGGAAGGGAGGTGCCAGGAGAGATGTTTGAGCCCAAACCAGGTCCCCCAGGAGTCCCAAGGAGTCCTGCACTTTGTTACCCTTGTCCCTGGCTCGCCACACTGACTCTGCACCAGCCCCTGGCATCCCCAGGGAATCTTCATGCACACTCCAGGGACCCTGGAGACCAAGGGGTTCACCTGCAAGGCAGATCTTCAACACCCACAGTTGACAAATCAGTATTCAGAGCACCCATAATCCCATGAGTGTGTGTACAACAGCACCCTAAAGCTGAGAGCTCCTGAGACCCTTGGTCTCCTGGCCTGACCCCAGTGGACTTCTAGAGCGAAAGACACCAAGGCCTAGAGTCTAGGCCTAGACTGAATCAAGGCCGGAGAGCCATTCAGAGAGGCAGTGGGGACTGTGCCTGGGGTCTACTGGACTAAGAGCCACATCCCTGAGTGGTACCATAGCACAGGAGGGCCTAAAGTCACACACCCGCAATTAATTAACACATGCCTCATGTTGCACACAATACATACATGCAATTTCACCTGTCAGTTAAAAAGAAAAGTCATGTTGGGAGAAGCAGGAGTCCCTTAAAGGGGGCACACAACTGGCTTTGTGCACACAGAGCAGAGAGCATGGTTTCATTTCACTGGGCTGAAGGTCCTACTACCGTCTCAAGCACAGTGAGTGGATCATGGACTGAACCACGTGTACCAGCCTCATCACAGCAAGCTCTGACACCCTTCCCACCACGCTCAGCCTAACGCCAGATTTCGGCACAAGTTCTCCTGCCTTGGGCGGCCTTCCAGCAAATACCTAGTCATCCTCCAAGTTTCTGCTGAAACAGCACCCCCAAGAGGAGCTTTCCAGATGTGAAGACCCCTTTGTCGAGCTCCTCTACCCACTAGGCCGAGAGGTGAATGGTGGTGACTAAGATGGTAAATGCAATGTGAGCATGGTGTGCCCTTGCTCATTTAACTACCCTAGGAACAGGACCTGCTGAGGTCACATCCTTGCTCCATGTTAGACCTACAGCCTGAGCCCTTGAGGGTGCCCAGCACCATCCGCCCATCTCAGCACTGGCTGTGAAGGCTTCTGGGACAGGAGTGAAGCGGGTTCGCCTCTGCCCTTGGGGGCACATAGGAGGGTCTCTGACAGTGGTGGGCTGGTTCCTCTGCCCGTTCTGCATGATGCACGCTGCACTTCCCTCTCAGGCAGATAACAGCCTGGGGCTGAGGCCAAGGGACGCGTGGAATTTGAGAAGCTCTCCGCATGAGCCACGCAGCACGGTTTGTGCAGGGTAGACGCACAGGTGCTGGCTTTCCGACATGCAGACACAATGTGGACATAACCAAGCTAAAATCCTCTGAAGCAAACGTCATAAGAAATAAATGTAGATAGCCCCTGATGAGTTTGGCTGCCTTGAGATCACATCTGCCCAAAGTGCTGAAGATAGGAGGCTTGGCACAGGCTCTTGTGGTCCAGAATAAGAAGGCTCAGCCTGCTGTGGGCCTTGGTGTCCATGCCTGAGAGGGGACCCCAGGCTCACAGGCCTTCAGTGGGTGAGATGGGTGTGAAGTTCCCTCCCTCTGGATGGGGGAATCATTGTGTGCCAGCGCCACCTAGTGGCCTGTGAGTGGCAGGGCAAGGACTAGGCCATGAAATGAGGTACACAGTACTGGGGGCGCCTCCTTGCTGCCTGAACTCTCCACTGGGCCCAGCCCTGCTTTCCGGCTCCCACACGCCACAGGGCTGCATGATTTCTTCTCCATAACATAGGTGCCCTTTCCCAGGAACCCTGCAGAGCCAGGGCCCTGAGTGCTAGGCTGGCACCTGGTTTGGTCCCCACAGCCTGGCCTTAAACCACTCTGGACTCACTGCCCTCCCCATCCCATGCCTCAGCCTCTCCCATTTCCCTGAGCCCTCACCATTTTGCTCCCCTGAGTCCGCAGGGACACCCCCTCTGCCATAGATGCCACCCTGTGTCTTCAGGGGACACAAGTCCTCAGGTCCCAGATCCTAACCCAATGTCACCATGTTTGTCTCTTCCTCACACCAACCAAGACTGTCTCCCAGATGTGGTGTGACCCCATGGCAAGACCCTCACAGAGGACAGCTCAGCTTCCTGTCCCTGTCCTTGGACAGCCCTGTGCCCCGCACACCATGTCCTCAGCACAGACCCCACACGCCAGGCCCTCACCGTAGATCTTAAAGGCGTAGTTGGCCTTCAGCTCCCGGGGCGCTGACTCACAGAGCACAGAGAACATGTCCACAAAGTCGTTGAAGGTGAGGTTCCCCTCGCCATCCTCGGAGAAGGCCTCCACGATCCTCTCCTTGAAAGGGTTCTCCTGAGGAGGACAGCACAGCTGTGACTGTCACTGGGCCAGCCAGGCAGGGGGCTCGAAGCTGACAGTGTACATGGCCTCAGATGCGTGGCCTGACCCTCTGCACCTTGGTTTCCCTTCTGCAAAAAGGGAACAGTGAGGGCATCTGCTCAGCTGGGTAGTCAGGGATTCCAGGAGCTTGAGCACATGCAGGTGGGAGCCAGTCCAGCAGGGTGAGGAGCCACAGGGGGCCTCTGTGTGCTCCAACTGGGCCTCACTGAGGCAGGAGCAAGGATCCATCCTGGAGAAGCATCGAGGCATCCCCTCCACATAAGGAAAACAACACCCAGGGAGGCAGAGGTGGAAGCAGAGTCTGAAAGGTCAGATACCTGGACCCAGACGCACAGCAAAAGCCACAGAGCCAGTGCCAGTGCCAGTGCCATGCTTGTAGCCTCAAGCCACCTCCTGCCCCTGAGGACTGGACATCAACACCCTTCTCTGATGCTACATAGCTTGGCCCACGCTGCTAGCCTCCCTCTTTCCTGCTGGCCAGCACTCGGCCAGCTCACAGTGTGCCAAGCTCAGGCGGCCCAGAAGCTCAAGGACAAAGCCTGTGGCTCCTGCCCTACCATCTCCACACCCTGAGCCTGGTCCCACTGAGACTCGGAGAGTTCCAGACATCTGCTCAGTGCCACATAACCACAGACAGGAGCTCAGGTGCCGCCCAGATGGGTGCTGATGCTGCCCACGCTGGGTGCAGATGCCCATCCCCTGCCCACCTGTAGGTCATGCACATACCCGGAGCTCTGGCATCTGGATGATCAGGCTCATGGGCACATGGACGATGGGGCTCTTCCTGTAGTCCATGGGCACCAGGTTGGGGGCCAGCTCGTAGAACCGTGCGTGCAGCCTTAGGGAGCAGAGGTAAGGCATGAGGGGCTGCCACCCTGTCTCCCAGTGTCCCCCAACACCTGGTCTGGCTCAGCTACGAAAGCCAACCTCAACCAGGACCAGGTAAGGGCCGAGAGGGAACCAACTACCCTGCCCACGGGAGGTGGGCTGGCAGGGAGTGCGCTCTGCCCAGAGCCCTGTGCTGGCAGAGACAGTGCCCAGCCTCGCTGTTTCCACTGCCACCTTCTGGACCTGCACCCGAGTCTTTCTGTTGTTTCCTCTGAGCGTTGGACCTGACACTGGCTCTCTATTTAACCTCCTCCCCGTCACTGTGCACACAGATGCACCACAAAGCCCATCTACAGCTCAGCAAACCAAGGTCTGAGAGGGGAAGGGTGATTTGTCTAAGGCCACACAGACTTCCTCCCTCCACTAAGTTCAAGAAGGCTTACATATTTGTCCTATCCTAACATCTAGGACCAGAAATACTTGTGCTACTTGAACTGCTTCAGCATAGGGCAAAATGTGAAAGCCTCCAGGTTTATTTTAGAAAGTCAGTAGTAGCTGATGGCAGAACCCGGTGAATGGCATCTAGAATGAACCAAATGTACTTGCATACCTAAGTGCAAAAGTCTTCTAAAATAACATGCCCACAAGTCACATCCAATATTCTAGAAGAATGATGTTATTAGGACCCACTAGGGTTTTTGTCAGGTTGCAAGGATGCCTCTATATTTGGAAATTCGTGACTGTAAGTCATATTCATAGGCAAACATATTTGATCAATTAAATCCACATATGACCATAGGGCTGAATGCGCACACACAAAAATACATGACAAGTTGAGGGGCTGATTTCACTCATTATTTTTTTAACTAGTTCTGAATTTTTCTTTTGTTTTTTTAATTTTTTGGCACGAAGGTGGAATTCAAGGCCTCATGAATGCAAAACATGTTCTCTACCATTGAGCTATACCCTTAGCTCCAATTTTTTTAATTGTCAAAAGTATTTGTTTCCGAATGTGGTGGCGCACACCTGTAATCCCAACACTCAGGAGGCGGAGGCAGGAGGATCATTGTGAGTTTGAGACCACCCTGGGCTACAAAGTGAGCTTATGGCCAGCCTGAACTGCATAGTGAGACCCTGTCTCAAAAAGACCAAAAAAAAAAAAATTTGTTAACAAAAATAAAAAAGTATGCTAAAAAGTATGTATTATTTTTCTCCACAAAAAAACCTTAAAATTTTTAGCAAAACAGAAACAAAAGAAGCTTTTGCTTAGAACTAGAAATGAAAGGACAATTTCTATCTCAAGTCAGTATCCAAAAATCATACTTACATAATAAAATATATGGAAAAATCTATACAAATGGAAAACCCTATCATCACCATTATTGTATAAAGTTACTTCAGGAGTGCTTGTGAATGTAATTAGTTAAGACAATAAAATAATACATTCAAATCTTGGAAAGGAGGAAGCAAATTATTTGCTAGAATATCAGAAATAATCATCTTAAAACTATTTGAATTAGAAAAGGCTCAGGATCTTTTCCACATAGAAAAAAAATCTATCTATCTATCTATCTATCTATCTATCTATTTATCTATCTATCTTTCTAACTATCAGCACTAGTTTACTAAAAAAACAATTACAGAGGCCTCATTCATACAGTACTGAGGTCAGTACTATAGCTCAGTACTGAGCATTTGCCCAGCATGTAGGGGAAACTGGGTCCCAGCCCAGCTCCATATACACACAAAGCAAAAAGGTCCAAATCACACAACGCAAAAGAATCACAAAGCCAGAAATGACTAAATATAAAATTAATACAACATGTATATTTAAAATGTAAAACTTCACCAAAGGCTATTGAAATATTTTAGGTAGTTAGATAACTTTTGTTTTTCCAATTAGAAAGACTTAATACTGCAATGAACCAACTTTCTCTTCATGATTCTTTAAAATAAATATAATCCCAATCAAGATCGGCAAAGGGTATATTTGGGAACTTGACTGATTGAAAACTTTGTTTGGCGCAATAAATGTAGAAGAGTTTTAAAAAGAGTAAAAAACTTTTAAAAAAGTTTTAAAAAGGTGGTGCATGGCTGTCATCCCAGCACTTGGGAGGCTGAGGCAGGAGGATCATGAGTTCAAGGCCAGCATGGGCTACATAATAAGTTTAAGGACAGGGAGACCCTGTCTCAAAAAAAAAGAGCAACTGGGAAAACATTTGCCCTACTAGATGTTAAAAGTGTTTAAAGCAGTAATAAGAAAAATGACATGAAACTGATACTGGCATTGAGGAGCAGTATAGTGGGAGTGGTAGAGTTGGATATAAAATAAAATCAGTCCATGATATGCAGCATTTGAAGTCTCGTGGGAAAAGATTGCTTCATCTGAACATTAAAAACCAGTGTCTACCTTTATGCCTGGCTTTCAGGGACTATTTAAAAAATAATTACCAAGTTGTGGTGACACAGGCCTGTAATCCCAGCTACTTGGGAGATAGGGTCAGGAGGATCAAAAGTTTGAGGGCAGCCTGGACAATTTAGTGTGAACCAGTCTCAAAATAAAAAATAAAAAAGGGTTGGGGAAATAGCTCAGTATGAGGCCCTGGGTTCAATCCCTAGTATGATAATATTAATAACAATAATAATAATGATGATAATGATGATAATGCTTATTTAGAACTTAGTTGCCAGTGTTTACAAAGGAAGAGATTTTACACTACACATCTGGGTTTCTGGCCCTGCTGGGGCTGACAGCAGCTGCTTCTGCAGAGGTCAGTTCCAACAAGTCCCAACTGGCCAGCTGCATTTACTTACAGCACATGTTGGGACCCATAGACAACTGAGTTTCACACTCCTGAGTTAGTAGCTCAACGTGGAGGCCCTGGATACAATCCCTAGTACCACGTGCATGCACACACACACACAGTTGAGAAAATAAACAATAAGGTAACAACTAAGCAAACACCTGGGGGTGCTAAAAGACTGAGCCTTCTTCTGTCTTGAAGGGACAAGGACTTCTGTCCAATGCATTCAGGCACACAACAGAGCTGGGGCCGTGGGAGCTGAACCCTGGCGCTTTCACCCACAGAAGGAAAGAGGATGGCGGAGTGGGGAGGTCACGTGGGGCTCGGCATCAGGCGAGGGGAGAATGGGGCCCACCACTTGGTATCACCGACCCATGCTGCTAGGAAGGAGAGCCTCCCATTCAGCATCCTCCCCACCATCAGGCAGCTGCTGCTCTCCAAAACAGCTGGGGGAGGGGGCAGGGAGGAGAGTGGACCGCAGAGGGTCTGCACTGTGAACAGTGGGTGGACCCAGGGTGGGGATCGGGGGATCAGTCATCACCCTCACTCTGCTAGAGCCCAGAAAGGGGACTGAGGAAAACAAAGGGGCTGACACAGAGATAGAGCCACAGGGTCTACACCACATTCCCGCAGGGAGCGCTCACCTAGCCCCTGCTCATCTCTGGGCGGCCTCTGTGACATCTAACAACACTGTCACTCTGGCCCCTCCAGTCACACGGGCCTGGAGTAAACAGTGCCAGGGACACTGCGTTCCCACCTGCAGGGGGGACACCTGAGACATGCTGGAGACAGAGCCAGGGCTCCTGCTCTAAGGGTACACAATGGGGACAGGGAGCTTCACCCACTTCCCCACTTGGCCACTTTGTAGAACAAGCCTGGGTTCAGTCCACCGGGTCCTGACAGCAGGTTAGCCTCTGGGCTAACTCAGAGGCAGGTCTTGAAGGAACCAGTGAGAGAACAGGGAGGGGGTCCATGGTCAGGTGGGGGCATCCAGCTGCCAGGGGTCCTTCACCTCTCTTGGCCTCAGGCTTGGCTTCGAGCTACAGAGGCCGGGGTGCTGTCAGGTACAGAGTTGGGCAGGCCAGGGCTACAGGGTCCAGGACACCCCTCCCACAGTGCTGCCACCTGCCAATGGGACAGGGACACCCCCAAAGGCCCAGCACAGCAGCTTGAGCCCCCCCTCCTGCTGCTCTCCAGCTGGGAACACTCCCCATCCTTCACACAGCCTCCTCAAGCATCTGCCAGGAGCCAACAGGTGCCATTCCCAATGTCAAGCGTGGGCAGGGAGGCCTGATACTGCCCAAGGGCAGGTCTAGGAGGCACTAGCACCTAAGCCACTGATGCCCAGGGCTCCCCAGGCTGTGATAGCACTGTGTGCTGGGGTGCCAGGAGGGGGGGCACCCAGCTGACTCTGGAGGGAGGTGTGGCAATGTCAAGGCAGGAGAAGTGACAAATTGGGTCCCAGGCAGCAGAGACAGCCCGTGAAAAGATCAGAATGGGGCCTCAGGAGAGATACAGCCAGGGGGCATCTGTAACTCGGGGCATAGGTGGGGGGGCCCTGCAGCAAAAGGCAAATGTGATAAAGCTTAGGAAGGTCTGCCCACCAGAGCACCTGGGCGGTGGCTGTGGGATGTATTCAAGAGCCACCCTGTCCCAGTGGGGTCTTAGCGTACATCACTAAGCCACAAGCCAAGTCCCAGTCATCAAACACTGAGCAGGGCTCCTGCCTCTGTTTCCCAGAAGAGCTGAGGCAGGGGGGTCAACTTTGCCTGTGGCCATGGAGTTGGGACCTGGAAGTAGAACCCAAGTTCCCCAAGGTCAGGACTCTGAGGGAGGAAGCAGGTGCCTCCACCTGCCTGGGGACAGGTAGAGTTCCAGCCTGGGCGGGCGCAGGGGCCAGCCAAGCACAGAGGTCAGGGACACACTGCAGCACGGTGCTCGGGAAGCCACGCAGGCGCTGGCCCAGCCTCCACTGATCTCCAGGAAAGTGAGCCTGAGGCTTCACTGGCTTTTGATGCCACCCGACAGCCTGGGCCAGGGGCCCAGTGAAGGCCACAGAGCAGGCTTCCCACTCTGTGTCCCCAGCCCTCTGTCTAGTCCTGCACCTCTGAGACCCCCTTATTTCCCACTCAGGACCATTCCACTGACCCACCAGCCCGGACAGCTGGATCTCCCAGGAGCAGAAGGATGTCCCAGCTGGAGTACAACAGGCAGGGGCTCCCTGCAGCAGCTCCCCATGATGCAGGGAAGCAGCAAGGGACCTGTCAGCAGCCAGATCTCTGGTCCCTGGTAGTGTGACCTACGTTGAGCTGCTGAGCCACATCTGTGTGGTAGTGGTGGGGTAATGGGATCCTCTTGATATAACATCATGGGGAGGATTAAATGACCCCAACCTGGAGAGAGGCCAGCATAGTAAGCAGATGCTTTGTGCCTGGCAGAAGAGCGGGCAACAGTGGAGAGCTCTCAAGTCTGCACAGCAGCCCAGTGTAGCTGAGGCCTAGATACGGTGTCCATGCCTTTCTTCAATGCCAGCTTCTACAGGCAGCCCATGCGGGGTCCCCGGCCCATCCTGCCACAGCCCCAGCCCTAAAGGGGTGGACAAGAAGCCACACTTACTTGAGGATGTCCTTCTTATTGAAGAAGGTGCAGTCCTGTGGAGGGAAAACACACACAGTGGGCCCGGGCTCCCACACCACTTCCTCAGAGCCCTGGAGACAACAGGCCATTACAGGACAGTGCTGGATGGAGCCAGAAGACGCCACGACCCCTGCCCACCCTACCCAGGGGCGACTGAGTCCAGGAGACCTGGGGATGCCAGGCCAATGCATGCTAGGGGCTATGCAACCACTGGGTTGCACAGTGGAAAGAAAGATGGGGGTGCTCATAGGTGGGCGTGGCTGACTTGAGGGCCAGCAGGATGTGCTGTGGGAGGATGGCAGCTGGGGACAGCTCTGGAAGCCCCATGTTGCACAGCCACAGGCCTCTCCACCTCTGCCTGCCATCACAGTGTGAAGGGAGATGATCTCCTGGGCTGGGTGCTGGGTCCAGAGGGTGCCTATGAGCAGCAGATGACAGCCAGGCAGGTCCTGGATACAACCTGGAGCCGCTGGACACCAGGGCAACTGGGCTGCACACTAAGGCAGCCACAGAGAATGCAAAGGGTGCACGCAACAGCGGGGGTTCCTGCTGAGCACCTCCAGCAGGGCTGCAGGGGACACTGGTGTAGCTTTCCAGCGAGCCTATCCTTCTAAGCCCCTGTAACTTCCTGGGTGCTTACCCCTCTTGGAAACCCAGCAGGGGTGGTGGTGCTCTTTTACTTTTGTCAATGGCTCTTTTGTGAGAGGCAAGAAAGGCTCCGGGAGCACAGACAGGAAACTCCTTGCCTAGCAGGCCTAAGACATAGACGGGAAGGGATCATGTGGGCAGATTCTTCAGCAGGCCTCAGGCCTGAAGCAGGCAGCAGAGAAGCAGGGGGCTGTGCCTTTCAGATGCAGATCTTTCCCACCCACACACAGAGCAGGACTAAAATGGGACAGGTCCTGGCTTAGCTCTCCCCTCCTCTGACCTGTGCATCACACCTCCTCACCTCTCCTCTTCCCCACCTCCCCTCTCCTCCCTCTCTTCTACAGCCTGGTTAGAAAGAACACAGCCCCTACCATGTACTGGCCTGGCTCAGGAGGTCCTGATCCATGGGTGCCACTGGTGTGATACACAAGTTCCCCACATAACCCTGGTCCCTTGTCTCAGCTGCCCGTGTTGCTCCTCACCAATGGTCCTTAAGATGTGGTACCTGGACCAGCACCAGCAGTCTCGCTGGGAACTTGGTGGAAATGCACTCTCAGGCTCCACTCCTGAATCTGAATCAGACACTCAGGAGGGGCCAGGAACCTGCACTTCTAACATCTCCCAGTGAAGAATGTGAGGGCGTCTGTCCTGAAGCAGAGTCACCAGGGAAGCTGCTTAGAATGTCTGTGCGCCCCGTGACCCCTCAGCACCCCAGACCAATTAAACAGGAATTCCTGGGGGTCCATTCGGGCACCAGGGATCTTCAAAGCTGCTTGGGAAATTCCAAGGTGTAGCCAGGCCAAACCACATTTACCATGCACCTCGCTCTAAACATTCTAGTCAGCTTTGGCGGGGTGTAGTGGTGCATGCTTGTAATCCAGCACTCAGGAGGTCAAGGCAGGAGGATCACTGTGAGTTCGAGGCCATCCTGGGCTACATAGTGTGTTTAAGGCTAGCCTGAACTCCCTAGTGAGACCTTGTTGTAAAAGTACAGAATAAAATAACATCAACATTGGTTGACCCCTGGACAGAGGTGGCAGACAGGCTGCAGAAGGGGTGAGGGATGCTGGCTGTAAGCTCTTCAGGGTGCCTGCAACATGGAATGAGAACTGAGGCCAAAGGCCACTGAGCCTAGGCCAGCCCAGCGCTCTGGAGTTAGCACAAGCAGTCACCCCAAGATACCATAGAATCACTGAGGGAGGAGAGGGTCACACCTGTGCTTTAGAAAGGTCCTTCAGCTGGGCATGGTGGCACAGGCCTGTAATCTCAGCACTTGGGAGGCTGAGGCAGGAGGATCATTGTGAGTTGCAGACCAGCCTGGGCTACAAAGTGAGCTCAAGGCCAGCCTGAACTGCATAGCAAGACCCTGTCTCAAAAAAAAAGACACAAAAAAAAAAAAAAAAAAAAGAAAGATCCCTCATGTTCTGCATGGCATGGTTGTCCCTTGGACAGCTTCCCTGAGGACTCCTCAGCAACAGGGCCCTTGTTGGCACCAACTGCCTCGGGATAATGGTCAAAGAACCAATGTGCTTTCCAATGGTATGTGTATAGTATCTGCTGAAGGGAAGAGGAAAGGAGGAGGAAAGAGAAGAGGGAGGATGGAAAGGGGAAAAAGGAAGAGGGAGGAAGAGCAAGAGACCCAAGAGACCGGGGTGCAGTCAAGCCTCCCAGGAGATGAGGAGGCTTGGCCCAGGGCCCAGCAAGGGGATAGAAAATGGGATTTCCAGGTGACAGGAACATGAGGCTGAGTCCCAGACCTGTTCCTAAGGGAAAACGTGGGTTAAGGGATAGCAAAGTGTTCTAATGGAACAGCTGGTGGAGCAGCAGTGGGTTTGGGGGAGAAGTTGGGCCTGTTTTAGGGTCTGAAAGGTCCAGGTGATGGGTGTGCAATGCAGAAGAATGGTCTAGACAAGAGCCTAAGCTTTGGGTATCCTTGGCCCCTGGAAACCAGGAAGGGGACACTCCACCTTGGAAAGGAAAGACTGTCAGGCTGAGAGGTCCCAGAAACTGAGGGTCGCTTGGGGCTAGGGCAGCTATAACACAGGGTCACCCCATCCAGCCCTGCAGCCAGGCCAGGAAACTAGAGGGAGGAGATGGGGCTCTCAGGTTTCATGGCTCTCATTTCTCCCACCCTGTCTAGTGGGGCCCTGGCAAAGGACCAGAACCCAACACTGGGCCTGGCTCTGCTGGGTAACCCAATGCCAGGCTGACCAGAGCGGGAACCAGGTCCCTGCCCCCACCAGGGCGCACTTTACTTCTGGGTATGGGCTGTTTGCCTGCGCCATCTCCAGCCTTTACCCCAGCCGTCCCTCCACCTGGAATGTCTAAGCCAGGCCCCGCTAGCCAAACTCCATTTCCAGAGGCCTGCCCAACACTGCCCTGTTCCTGCATCTTCCAGCCCCAACAGAAGCCCCTGCCCACCAGCACTCTTACGCTGCCACAGGCTTCCCTCACAAGGGCCACGCTGGAGGTGACAGTCTATCTCACTAGAGACCCTGAACACCCAGCCCACATCATCCAAAGGAAGGCAGAAGCCTGGGACTCATGATTCAAAGGCTTATGAGCCCTGCCTGGCCAGCTCCCTTGTCTCCTTAGCATGGGGCTAGGAATCTACCCTGTGGCGATCAACATGCTATTGCCATAGTAGGGTCTGGAACACAGCAGGCACCCATACATGTAGGGCCTCTCCTCCTGCCCAGGGCCTCCTGCTAGAGCTGGAAAACCTGTGTTACTGACGATGAGAGCTTTGGGCAGAACGGCCTTTTACTGCATCTTTGCCCATAACAGAGGACCGATGCCGATAGAAGCATTCATGAAGCCACAGGTGCCTACTGTGTCCCTTTCTCCTGGGAACAAAGGTGACCCACATCCTGCCCCCTGCCTGAGGATCGGAGAGGAGCCATCAGAGTTGGGCCTTGAGGTCTGAGGATGGGAGAGGCTCCCAGGCCCAGAGGCAGCACAAGAGAGAGGCAGCAACTACACGGTGTTCTCAGGTGGCGAGGGCAGAGGCAGGCAGAGACCTGGGAAGACTGCGATGGGGCGGGGGGGGGCCAGCCTACAACCTCAGAAGTCCCCACACAGGTGAGCAGTGGGCTGTTGTCTGGACAGCGACCTCAGGAGGGTTGCTGGGGAACAGAGGGCAGAGGGAGGCCCCTGGATCGCCTGCTTCCTCTAGGTGCTTCCTCACTTCCTCACGCAAGTGAGCCCCACAGAGGACCTGTTCCTTCGCTTCACCCCCTGCAGCCCTGCATTCACCTACTGACTCTCCATCTTCTGCGCGGGGGATGCACCCCGGGACGATGGTCCCAGGCTGCACGGGAGGGGGGGGGGCGGAAAGCGAAGCTCCACAATCACCAGCTGGAATGAGCCTAGTCCCTAGCAAGGAAACTGAGGCTGGGGGCGAGGAGGGGTCACCGGCCCAAGGTCGGGCGCACCCGGAACCCTGGCGCCCTGATTTCGGGAAGCCCTGATGGGGCCCTGCTTACCTGGTAGTTGTCCAGCTGCTCTTCGGTGAAGATGGTCTGCTTGTTCCCCATGGCGCCGGCCCGGAGCCGGGAGCCCCGCGCCCCCGCCCTCGGCAGCCCAGGCGGGCAGTCCGCTTCCCCTAGCTGGCCGAGAGGGGGCGCGCGCGGGTTGCGGCTGGAGTAGGGGGCGTGGCCTGGGCGTGGCCGGGACTTGGCCCCAAAGAGGGGCGGGGCCTGGCTTGGAGGAGAGAGGCCTGTGGGGCTGAGCGGCCAAGGGCGTAGCCAGGGGAGGGTGGGCGGGGCTTTGGGTGGATAGGGCGGGGCCTATCTGGAGGAAGGGGGAGGCCCAGGGCGGGGCTGGAGAGGGAAGGGCGAGACCTAGCCCGAGGGGCGGGGCCTAACCCGAGAGGGGCGTGGACTGGAGGGCACCAGGCACCGCCTACCTCGCACAAACCGGGGCACCCAGGACTTCCGGTCCGCGCGGGCCTCAGGTGTCCAGAGTGAAGGTTCCCTCAGGGGCGTGGGAGGCGGAGTCCGGGTGCTGTGTGTGGGGTCCCGCGGGCAGCCCCGTCCCCTAACGCGACCTTGGCACGCTCTTGCCTGGCTGCTGTCCCCTGGACTATCCTCACCTAGCCCTGACCCCGCAGGCTGTCTCGCCTGTCCCTTTGGAGAGGAGGACGGGGTTGGCTCGGTTTGAGATGGAAAGGACTCAGGATGTCCAAGGAAGCGTGGCAAAGGCCAGGACGTTTTCTTGGGGTTTTAAGCACATGCCATTTAAGGAGAGAAAACTTTACCCTGGTAGGATGTCGGGTTGGGCCTGAGAAATAACTGGATTACGACAGGTTTGCAGCAGAAAATCATACAGATGTATTGAATGTTTTACGGGACACAGGGCTCATAAGGAAACGAAGTTCTGGAGAATTGGCAAAGCAGAGGCGAATGTGGGGAAGTCATGGGAATATATGGGAAAGCTAAAAGAAAATAAAAGGGAACAACATACCCTTGATAATGTTTCTTTTCTCCAGGTTTAGGGAGGGCAGCTTTCACATGGGAATTTCATCACCTCTGTTTTTAAGAAAAAGGGTGATGCATGCCTGAAATCAGAGCACTCTGGGAGGCTGAAACAGAAGAATGAATTCAAGACCAGCTTTGGCACTGTAGTGACTTAGACCTGTCTCTTTTCTCTTTGAAGTCTTCTCTTTGTCTACAGACTGTTGTCATCCTGGCCTCTCTCCTGGCATAGCTGCTGTTTGTGTCCTATGAGCAGTTACTGCATCTGCCTCAGTCCCCCACCCCCTGCAGCCCCTTGTTTAACTTGGCCTATACTCTAGCACTGAACAGCTTGTGTAATTTTTTTGCATCTTAGCATTATGCATATAGTAGGTACTTAATGTATACAATATCTGGTGTATAAGTAGGTACTTAATGTATACAATACATAGCCTGGGACTGTCTCTTGGGGGGGGGGCATTATTTCTTCTTAACCACCAAAACACAGGACGGCTGGGACATTTTCTTGGATCTCTATACCCAGGGTCTAAGGCAGGGTCGTTTTTGTTTCTGTTTTTTTGTTTTGGGTTTTTGTTTTTGTTTTTGTTTTTGTTTTTGTTTTGGTACTGGGAATCAAGCTTAGGACCTTGTGCTTGCCAGGCAGGTGCTGTGCCAGTGAGCTATATCTCTGGTCCACAGGGTCTTAATAAATTGGAATCAACATTATTTAAAAGAATAATGCCTGTAATCCTGGCACTCTGGGAAGCTGAGGCAGGAGGATCAAAAATTCAAGTCCAACCTGGGCAACTTAGTGAGACTGTCTCAAAATAAAAAATAGAAGGGACTGGGGATGGAGCTCAGTGTAAAAGTCCTGGATTTAATCCCCATACCACACACACAGGCACACAAATACATTTTCTTGGACCTGTTTATACATGGAATCAACTAGATCTCCAAAAACTCTGCCTTGGAAAAGATTTTCCTACTAGGGAATCAAGTGAGCACCCCTTTGTGCAGAAAAAAAAAGTGAAACACTTTCTTCCTGTCTGATAATTGTTGGCCTATTCTAGAGCCTCCCCAGATAACTCTCTGGATGTGAGAAGTTCTCAGATGTCCTGGACCTTATGGTGACTGCCCAATTGTTGAGGGAGGAGGAGGTCAATCTCTCCCCCAAATCTTCTGTGTAGTCAGCATTCTGACACTATGACAAAATATCTGTGAATAACAATGTAAAGGAGGAAAGATTTATTTTGGTTCACAATTTCAGTCCATGGTCAGCTAGTTCCATGTGGGTCCAAGGTAATTTCAGAACATCACAGCAGAGGGCATGGTGGAGAAAAGATGCATGTCTGTTGGAAGCCAGGAAAGTGGGGCATCTAGTGTGCTGCCTCCTGTTCTTGTTCCATTTAGGTCCCCACCTGATTAGATGGTGCCACCCACATTCAGGGCTGGTCTCCCCATCAATGTGTTGTCCCACATGTCAATCTTATCTGGAAACGTCCTCACAAACACATCTAGAAATGTGCTTTACAAAAGAAAAATCTGTTCTCAATCCAATCAAGTTGACAAGATTACCTATAATATCCTGCAATCTTTCCTACTCATCCTTTCAGATAATTTAAAATCTCTGGAGGCAGCCAGGGGTGTTAGTGCACACCTGTGATCCCAAGATTCTAGGAAGTTGAGGGAGGAAGACTGCAAGATTGGGCCTAGCCTGGGCAATTTAGCCAGAACCTGTCTCAAAAGAGCTGGGAATGTAGCTCAGTATGAAGGCTCAGGGTTCAATCTCCAGTAACACACACACACACACACACACACACACACACACACACATTCTTTGGACTCACTTTTGATTCCCTTTTCCCCCCTTTTTTGAGACAGGGTGTTGCTATATAGTTCATGCTGGCCTTGAACTCTCAGTGATCCTCCTGCCTCAGCTTCCTGAGTCCTAGGATTATAGGCATGTGCCACCACACTTGGTTGCCTTTTTCCTCATACTTTGCATTCTGTCCATCAGTACACCCTGGTACATCTAGATACTAATCACATCTTAGTATTCCATCATGATCACTATGGTCCAACCCCTTATTCTGGCCACTTAGTCCATATGCTCAGGTTCCTTTGCTCATCACTGATCAACTCAAATGAGGCCATTTATTTGGGAAAAAAGGGAAAAAGGACTTATTCAAAGCTAGTTCCAAGGAGTTGGAGGGGCCTCATGGTCTGAATGGCTATCTCACTGTGTACAGCTGTGAGGTGTGTTAGGATCTTTCACAGCAAGGGAGGCAGGGAGTACAATGAGACAGGAGACAGATCCAGGCCTGATCCACCCCTTCCTGGGCCAGGCCTCTCTCTTCCTTCCCCCTGGCAATGAAACTGGACTTTGACCCTCTAGTGGTAGCACCTATACATTTTATCTATGCATCTGGGCTGAGGAGAGGTAAGGATGGCAGTTTATGCCCTAGGTCTGAGAAGTCTTGGAGAAGACACTTTCTCTAAAGGGAGAAAATCTAACTTTCAAGGTTCTATATTTCCATGCCAGTTACAATTCCACATCTTGCTCTAGGTCAGCCCTCAATAGTGAGGGCCTGTGGCACTGCATTTAGCAATTAGTGTAAAGCTGAGGGCCGGGGATATAGCTTAGTGGTATAAGTGCTGGCCTGGCAAGCGCAAGATCCTAAGTTAGATTCCCAGTACAAAAAAAAAAGGCTGAATTGCGGAGTGGACTCAAAGGTAGCTGGAGTGTGAGCAAAGGGAAGCAAAATGAATGCTTGAGCCTGAAAAAACACCGCTAAGGATATTTTGGTCAAATATAAAAGAGCCAAAGTCAGGAGACATCTAACTGCTGTACCTCCTGGAAGGGCATCTGCTTTTTGGACAATCATGCATAAGAACCCTCTTTCATAATCTCTGCAGCTCTACTTATTTGGTAGGATTGACACACAGGTGACTGGCGCTTAGAACTTCCTCCCTGTCTCCAAATGCATTTTCTTCTTTTCTGAATGCATTGCCAATTGTAACATGTGTGGCCTTCTGCCTTGGTGCTGAGGTAGCTTTCTCTAATGAGGGTCAGTCAGAGCAAGTCCAGCATTGGAGAAGATGTGACAGCTGGTTGGAGTTCGGTGTCATAAAAACTTTCTTATCAAACTGAGCAATTGCAGAGATTACAAAGTGTAGCTATTATGATTTAGATCTGGAATGTCCCCCAAGAGACTCATATAATCAGAAGTGGGGATTTGGGAAGGTGATTGGATCATGGGGGTAACATACTTATCAGTGAATTTCTTCACTAATGAGTTTAGTAGTGGACTGTGCTGTCAGAGGTGAGGCCTGTTTAGAGGCAGCTCAGCAGAGCCCTGACCTGGAAGGGTGTCTTCTTGTTCCTGGCTCCTCTCTTTTCTCAGTTTCCTGGTTTCCGTAACCTGAGCAGCTTTCCTCCACCCAGACCCTTGTGCTATATGCCATTTCTGCCTTGGAACTGGAGGACAATAAGAACATGAGCCAAAATAAACCTCTCCTCCTTTAAGTTGTGGGCGTCAAATAATCTGTCTTGATAATGAGAAAAGTGACTAAGATTTTCATACCAGAGACATGGAGACATTTGTGTGACTACCTAGGCATGTGGTTTAGAAGCCTTTGGAAGTGCTTTGCTGGAAGAGTTTGGAAAGGTTTGGGGATGCTGGCTAACAAAACCTCAGTATGCTGTAGACCAAATTTGGTGGGAGATTCTGGTCAAAGCACAGAAGACCAGAATGCTGATAAAAAATACAAGGGGTAAGGACCAGGCTTAGGGGGTTTTAGTTGGAAAAGACTCCACTGACAGGTGAACTCCAGCCTATGTGTGTTACACTCTCAGAAAAATATTGTCTATATTTTGCCTGTGTCCTAAAACTGAGATTAAGGGCAGTGGACTAATTGATCTGATGAATGAAATCTCAAAACAGACCAACATTCATGGGACATGATAATTAAACTTGATTGTGTCAACTTTATTGTCTTGGAAGCCACCCAGGGGAATGGTGAAGCACACTTCTGGGTGTGTGGTAGGTCATGGAAATGTGAACTTTGGTATATATCTGGTCCCTTGCCCCTTCTTCTCTGTTGCTCCCCTGTTCTGCTTCCTTGTCACAATAAGTCAAACAGCTTTGCTCAACCACATCATTCCACCATGATGTTCCTAGCTTGGAGCCAGCAAACCATGGACTGAATCTCCTGAAACTATGAACTAAATTAAGCCTCTCC